TGCAACTGGAGAAGCCTCTTCTCTTGGGCTGTTTTAATGTCAAAGTTCAACATTTTAACAGCCCAAAGAGCCTTGTACTCAAGCTCCACTGGTAGATGACAACTGGTAGATGACAACTCTTCCCATACAACAGATTGAAAGGTGATGTTCCAATGGGAGTTTTGTAATAGGTGATGTTCCAATAGGCCCAGAGAGCATCATCCAACTTCTTGCTCCAGTCTTTCCTAGATTTGCTCCTTGTCCTTTCTAAGATGGCCTTGATCTGTCTGTTGGAAACCTCTACTTTGCCACTGGTCTGAGGGTGATATGGGCTAGCTATCTTGTGCTTGACCCCATGCTTCCTTAGTAGTCCCTATAGAGTCTTGTTCACAAAATGAGAACCTCCATCACTTATCACCACTCTAGGAACCCCAAACCTTGGGAAGATGGTGCTTTTAAAAAGCTTGACCGCCATTTTTGAGTCATTGGTTGGGGAAGCAACAGCCTCTACCCATTTGGACACATAATCCACAGCAACAAGTATGTACTGATTCCCATAGGTGCTCACAAAAGGACCCATGAAGTCAATACCCCAGCAATCAAAAACTTCAACCTCAAATATTGGATTTTGAGGCATCTCACTCCTCTTTGAAATGTTCCCATGCCTCTGACAGGCATCATATGCTGAAACAACCCTCTGAGCGTCCTTGAACATAGTAGGCCACCAAAACCCACTCTGAAGAACCTTTGCCACTGTCTTGAATGCTCCCAAGCGACCTCCAAAAGCTGATCCATGGCACTCTTGCAACACAGGTTGCATCTCTACTTCAGCAAGACACCTTCTATACAGCTGATCTTTGTTCATGACATACAGGTAAGGTCATCCCAATGGTATCTTTGGACATCTTTGAAGAACTTCTTTCTGTGCTAAGCTTCAAGTTCTGGTGGTTCCACTCCACAAGCAAGAAAGTTCAAAATGTCAGGAAACCAAGGCATTCTCCTCTCTTGGATGTTATCCACTTCCTCAAACTTCAAGTAAGAGTTGAGCACCATCAATGATTCCTCAAGGAGAGAGTCATTAAGAGGGACTTCAGAGTCCACTCTTAACCTAGAGAGATGGTCTGCAGCTCCATTCTCTATGCCCTTCTTGTCTTGTACCTCTATACCAAACTCTTGAAGTAAGAGGACCCATCTCAAGAGTCTAGGCTTGGCATCCTTCTTGGTCATTAGATATCTGAGGGCTGCATGATCAGTGTACACAATGACTTTTGATCCCCCCAGGTAGCTACTGAATTTATCAAATGCAAAAACTATTGCCAGCATTTCCTTTTCTGTGGTTGCATACTTTTCTTGACCAGAATCAAGGGTCCGACTGGCATAGTAGATCACATGAAGTTTTTTGTCCTTCCTCTGGCCAAGCACAGCTCCAATTGCATAGTCTGAAGCATTATCATCACTTCAAAGGGCAATGACCAATCAGGGGTCTGGACAATTGGTGCACTGATCAATGCCTCCTTGATCTTCTTGAAAGCTTTCTCACACTCAGCATCAAAGACAAATTCAACCTCTTTGCACAACAGCCTAGTCAGAGGCCTAGCTATTCTTGAATGTCTTTGATGAATCTTCTGTAAAACCCTGCATGCCCATAGAAGCTTCTTATCCCTTTGACTGAGTTTTGAGCTTGCAGATTCACCATCACTTCCACCTTTGCTCTGTCCACTTCTATTCCAGCTTCTGAGACCTTGTTCCCCAACACTATTCCCTCTTGGACCATGAAGTGACATTTCTCCCAATTTAACACCAAGCTGTGCTCCTCACATCTATCCAGGACCTGAGAAAGATTAGACAAACAAGAGGAGAAAGAGTGTCCATAGACTGAGAAGTCATCCATGAAGACCTCTACTTTCTCCTCAATCAGATCTGAAAAGATAGACATCATACAACGCTGGAAAGTAGCAGGAGCATTGCACAACCCAAATGGCATGTGCCTATAAGTAAATGTCCCATAAGGACAGGTGAATATGGTCTTCTATTGGTCTCTTGGATCTATGGGGATTTAAAAGAATCCAGAGTAACTATCTAGAAAACAAAAGAAGGGATGGTTTGGAAGCCTCTCTAGCATATGGTCACTAAAAGGCAAAGGAAAATGGCCTTTCCTAGAGGCTGCATTGAGCTTTCTATAATCTATACACATCCTGTTTCCAGTTATAGTCCTAGTAGCAATCAGCTCATCCTTACATTCTTTATCACTGTCATTCCCCCCTTTTTGGGCACCACATGGACTGGTGAAACCCATCTAGAGTCAAATATTGGATAAATTATCCCAGCCTCTAGGAGTTTAAGAATCTCTTTCTTCACTACCTCTTTTAAGTTGGGATTGAGACGCCTTTGGTGCCCTATCGATGACATAGACTCCTTTTCTAAGTGAATTCTATGAGTGCATAGGGAGGGTGAGATACCCTTTATGTCATCCAGAAAGTAGCCAATGGCTCTCCTATGTTTCCTCAACTCTTCTAACAACTTATGCTCTTGGTCCCCTAACAGCATATCATTGGTAACGACAGGATAAGACTCATTGAGACCTAAGAAAGGATACCTGAGCCCCTTGGGAAGAGGTTTGAGTTCCACTTAAGGTGCTTTGTTTGCATCCCAATCTCTTTCCCAAGCTGTTTGAGAGGCTTGTTGTAGCTGTTCTCCTTGTGATTCACCCTCCGCATTGTTGCCTTGCCTCTGAACCATCTCAGAACCCTCTTGAGAACCCATTTCCTCTTTGGCTGCCGTGTTCACACCGACCTCCTTTTGCTCGGTGTGGGAGGTCAATATTTCTTCGGCGTTTTGGACCTTCTCACACCGAGCTTGCACACCGACTGAATATACCTTTTTGTGGGTGAGAACCTTCTCTCCCTGCCCAGAATTCTGAGACACCGACCTCATTTCACTCGGTGTAGCTGGTCGATATATTTTTGGCCTCTGAACACCCTCTACACCGAGTTGAATACCGAGTGAAATCTGGTCGGTATGAACATGTTCCCTTGACAAATCTGAGCTTCCAAACCGGTCTAATGGCTTCTCTAGAGCTCTGTGATCTAGTTTCATGAAAGAATTAGTGCTTCCTTCTGGTTTGTGGGAGTCAAGAAGCTTCATAAACCCCAAGGTCTCATCCTCTAGATAACCATACTCACCATGTTCCTTTGTTAAAGCTATTTGGAGAGGGTCTCCAAGGTTTAACTCCTCCAAAAGCTCATCAGCCAGCTCATCCATGGTCTCTATGTAGAAGCATTGTCCTTCTATAGTGGGCGTTTTCATCATGTCCTTGATATCAAACTTCAGCTTTTCTTTACCAAGTTGTAGCTCAATGATTCCACCTCTCACATCAATAATTGCTCCTGCTGTGGCCAAGAAAGGCCTGCCAAAAATAAGAGGGTCAACTGGTTCCTCATCCATCTCTAGCACCACAAAGTCTGTAGGCACTTCAAAACCACCTATCTTTACTGGCAGATCCTCTAGCATTCCAACAGGTAACCTTACAGATTTATCAGCAAGGGCACGGGAGATTCTTTCTGGCTTAAAAGTTCGAAAGCCCAGCTTTCTAGCAATGGAGAAGGGAATTAAGCTTACTGATGCACCCAAGTCACAAAGACATCCAGCAAACATCAGAGGTCCTATAGCACAAGGGAGTGTGAAGCTCCCTGGATCAGTTAACTTCCTTGGAATTTACTTTCTCTGAATAATGGCACTGCACTCATGGCTCAATACCACCATACCTTGAAGCTCTTTAGTCTTGTTCAGAATAGCATATTTTAAGAACTTACCCAGCTTTGGCATCGTTAGAAATGCTTCAATGAGAGGAATTGTGAGTGGTGTCTCATTGAGAGCCTTCTCAAATACATCTCTTGCCTTGTCTACAAGCTGCTTCTTGAATCTCCCTGGAAATGGGAGCTTGGTTGGTATGGAGGTGGTGGAACATATCGCTATTCTGGTTCAGGTTCCTTTTCTACCTCTCTAACCTTTTCTTTTCTTGATCTTTCAGCAACTTGATCATCTTTTAAGGTTCCTCCCCCTCAGTTTGATCATTGTCCTCAATGATCAGATTGTTGTACTCTACACCTGGTAGTTCTTTGCCACTTCTCAGTGTAATGGCTTTAGCATACTCCTTTGGGTTTGATTCAGGCTTACCAGGTAGTTGGCCTTGGTTCCTTGAGCTAGATGCCTGATTTTGCTTCAATTCCTTGATGTCCTGTTGCATAGATGCATACTGACTTGCAAACACTTGTTGACCCTGAAGCAGCTGTTGTAGAATCCCAACCATATCTGACCCCATCTGTGGCTGCTGGTGAACAAGTGCTGACTGAAACTGATGCTGAACTGGCGCCTGCTGCTGGAACTGTTGTGAACCAAACCCTGGTGGTGCCTTTGGCTTCTGCTGTGAACTGAAACCAGAACCCTGAAATGGTTGCTGTTGCTGGTTGTAACCCTGATTCTGAGCAAACTGATTCTTTGGTTGAAAAGACCCTTGAAAGTTGTTCTTGGGAACAAAATTCTGTGGAGCTTGAGAGTTAGGGTAGGCTTGGTTTTGTGGGTTTGCTACATTGAGATTCCTGTAAGAGAGGTTCTGATTGGCATTGGCATACTGATATCTTTGGAACCTCTGATTTCCAATATAGTTTAGCTCGTCCTGGGTAAGACCTTCTTCACTGATGTTCTCAAAGCATTGAGAAGGTTCCTCATACTCTCCTACACAGTGCATTGGCTTTTGAGTGGCCAATAACACCTTGCCCAGTTTGCTTTCAAATGTTTTAAAGTCCTTCTCATACCTTTGATCCCTGCTTGAAATCTCACTCCTATTGGCTCTATCAAAGTCTTCTCCATATGTATCATTGCTGATTGCTAAGTACTCAACCAGCTCTAAAGCAGCATGAATCTCCTTTCCCAGAATATTTCCATTGGAGGCAGTGTCCAGCTGGTTCTTAATTTTGGGAAGAGCCCCTCTATAAAGTGTGCTGAGAAGAGATGCTTCACTAAACCTATGGTGTGGTTACTGGTTGGTGTAGCTCATGAATCTCTCATATGCTTCACCAAAACTCTCATTGCTATGTTGAGTGAAGCTGGAGATTTGGTTTCTTAGCTTTGCTGTTCTTGAAGTTGAGAAGAACTTAGACAGAAATGCCTGCTTGCATTGCTCCCAGGTCTGAATAGAGCCTCTTGGGAGATTCTTCTCCCATTGGTGTGCTTTGTCACCAAGACTGAAGGGGAATAATCTGAGCTTGAAACTGTCTTCAGATACTCCATTTATCTTTGTCAAGTAACAAACTTTATCAAATTGATACAAGTGTTCCAAAGGATCTTCCATTGCCAATCCATGGAACTTGGAGTTTTGGACCATATTCAGCAAAGATGCTTTGACTTCAAAATTGTTGTTTTGCACAGGTGGTGCTTGAATTTCAGTTTCATACTGATGAGCATTGGCCCTGTCATTCTCTCCAACATAGACCTGTGGCTGCTCATATCTCCTTTGTTGGTGTTGGAAGGGCTGATGGTGGTGCACCTGTTGTCTTTGCTGTACATTGGCCTGGTGCCTCTGCTGATGAGCTGGAGCTTGTCCCTGGTGGACATAAGCTTGCTGTGGATGCTCCTGTTCCTGCTGAACATTACCCTGATGGAACCCTTGACCAGCTCCATTACCAGCTGCATTACCAGCTCCATTACCCTGCTGCACCTGAGCCTGTTGCTCCTGAGCCGGTTACTCAATGTCAACTACATGCTGTCTTTGGTCTTCCATATCTGCCTGATAAATCTGTCTCCCACGCCTATCCCTTCTCCTCCTTGGAACCAAAAGATTAATATTGTCGTTTAAGGGGAAAGGTGGACCACAGCTTCTTGATCTGGACCTGGTGTTCATGCACCTGAAACTCACAACCAGAACTTGAAAAGAATTAGAAAACACAAAAGAAAATGCTTGATCTCAAGAAATGACACAATCTTAATGCTATCACACTTTGGCAACGGCGCCAATTGATAACTTAGAGTTTTCAAGGCTCTAAATGAGGGGTTATCAATCCCTTTTTTTCACTTTGCAGTACAAAGGGTATCAATCCATCATGTATAGACACTAAGATGCAGGATCAGTTCTTAATTCAAGCCAAATGAGTAAGGCTTTGATGTTATTTCCACTAAACAAACTTAAAACAAGAATTAAAGCTAATGATCAACTTAAACAAGCAAATGACAAGTGGTATGAATATGGGATGATGGAAGCATGAGATTCTAGACATGATAGTTGGCTAGGGTGCTTTGATGCTAAATCAGGAATGATAATGACAATGACGAGACATGATTCAAGTGATTTAGAACTCTAATCCAGATTAATCCTCTCATGAAGGCATTAACCTCTTCACTAATCCATTTTCAAACCAAATCATCATTTGTGAAATATGAATCAATGAGCATTAAGAAACAGTTCTAAAAGATCATTCAAGCAAATTACAAAACATCATCATGCAGCAAATGCTTAAACCTCTAATACAGCTCTTTCAGGAATTTCATCAAACACTTGTGGTGCATGAAATTCCTAGAATATAGATCACAAGTGATGTGCAAGGATCTAGCCTAGAGAACAGCTGTTTAGAGAAATGAACCAATGAATCTAGCCCTAAGCACTCCTAATCTAACACCTTAGCAACCTAACCTACACATCTAGAACCTCATTAAACTAAACTACTCACTAATCATACTAATCTCTCTTAAACCTTTGCAAGTTGAGAAGATTGGCATGATTAATGATGAGAAATGGAGATGGAGATGATAGATTAAGAAGATTGCAGCTTTAAACACACAAAAGGTCTTTGTGTTCTCTTGATTCAAACTCTTAAAAAGGGAATATTTATCTTCAAAGGAGTCTTTCACAAAAGAGGCAAAGAAAATTAAAGGAATAAAGCTTAACCTAATCATTGATGTCTCAAAACTATTTATACTAAGGGTTTTCTTGATGGGCCAACCCTTAACAAATAGGATATTGGCCCATTAAGTTCTTAAAATTCGGACTGGATCGAAGGAAATATCGACGTGCTGCTGGTCGATAGTTTTTCAGCAAGTCTGGCTGAGAATATATCGACATGCTTCACCTCGATTTTCTGGTCGATAATATTTCGGCGAGTCTGGCTGAGAACATATCGACATGCTTCACCTCGATATTCTGGTCAGTAATATTTCGGCGCTCCAGGTTGGAAATACCAACCAAACTATCGAGGTACGTTCTGGTCGATAGGAATGCATGCCGCTTGAACCAAAACCTCCATAACTTCCAGCTCAGTGGTCCGAACCTTGGTCTGTCAACTCCACGAGCCAGATGGCTCCGTCAGCTACAACTTTGATGAAGGGTCCGAGTCCAGCAGGCGTCGGTAAGGGCTTCGTTCCACCGGTTTACTGAGGTGCGTCGTTTTGGTCCTTTAGCGGCTGCGAGACATGTGTTCCTTCTGATCGCCGTAACGTTCAGCACACAGCTCCAAATTGGGAAATATCAGGCGTTCCGGAAACAAGACTCATCCCTATTGAATCTTGATCAAGGCATCAAAGTCTGGATCGCAATGCAAGAGCTCCGTTCCAAGTGATGAAGTAGAGGGATCGTCGGCTCATATACACTTGTCCGGTTCTGATGCATTCACACGAGGGTCTCTCCACGGCTTCTGTCCCAAATGCTCCCTTTTTGCTCCAAGTGACCTGTAAACACTCCAAAATGCAAGACTCTATAGGACCTAATGCATTTCCTATCCTAAACCAACTATAAAGACAAAAGCATTGAAAACTACCTAAATGTATGCATGAGACTCAATATTTGGACCAAAAATGCAATCCTAAATGATGCAAATTATGAATATATCAAGGACAATATTGAGGCCTGCGCCGACCTTTATTGCAAGATTTCCGGCGAAGTGCCCAATATGCTGAAGGTTTCCGAGCTGCGGGATCCCAATCTGTACAAGGGGATTTTTTGTACAACCGCCGTGGTAAGCATTCGATATTACTTATTCACTCTAAGTATTAGCTTTACGATTCCTAATCTTTCTTCTTCTTTTCTGTTTGTAGCTTGCTAGCCAGACTAACACTTTGATTGCCAGGTACGAACTCTCCTTGTATAAGGAACAGTTGAGAGTTCAGGAACTGGAAGGCTGAATTAGTGAAGTCGAGAAGTGACTTGCCAATGACTTCAAATAAACGACGAGATCCATGATGCTGTCGATCTGCTGAAGCAAGAGAGCACCGTGCTTAAGGCTGTGAAGGCCGAATTGACGGAGGCTCAAAACCTCTTGTCTCAAGAGTTCAGGCAGGACAAGGAGAGCTTGCAAGAGATGGTGGCTCACGAGCAAGAGCGGGTTAAGAAGGTTCACGCTAAGGCTTGTGAACACTTGGATGATGCTGACCGAGCTCGCAAGCTTTACCTCGTGGTGAATCAGCTCACCAAAGTCATCGGTTTTATCAAAAACCTGAAGAAGAAGGGAGTCTACGAGGTGCCTTCTGACATGGTCACAGATCTCGAGTCAAAGTATGCAGCGTCTCTTCAAGAGTATCAGTCTGTTGACGCTTACTTCTTTACCGAGGAAGATAAGCGCATGTCGCCACTTGCCGAGATTGATGCAGATATTGCTGTCGAGGTTGAGGGTCAAACGGGGGTTGAGGAATTCGGCTCGAATGAGGACGCGATTAATGCCGATCAAGCAGCTGCTTCAAAGACCGATTGAATCGATTTACCCTAAATGGGTTTGCTGTATTTGATACACTATTTTTCCCTTGATGGGCTTTTGTTTAAGTATTTTCCCCTTGGAGGGTTTTATCATTATTTTAGTATTCCTTTACTTACTGCTTTCGCACTCGTAAGAATCCATAAAAAATTATGCTAAGTGTTAGAACGAACTTAGAAATCTTAGATAGATGCTTAGCTCGGTCTTATTTATTTTCATAAAGAGTTGCGTTAACTCGGCCTACGTTTGCGAGTGTTGAGAACTTCGGCTTATGGTGCGAATTTGAGAACTTCGGATTTTGGTGCGAGCATTATGAACTCGGTCTGGGGGACCCAAGTGAGCTTTATCATACTGGAAGGGTGAAGAATCGAACCTTTGTAAATGCATGATACGAACTCAAGGTCTTTTAAGTCGAACCTAAGTGTGTGAGATGGGCTCGGCTTATTGTTCTTGGTGATTTAGGAATTTTATTGCGGGATTGGCTTCGACTTTATGGTGTGGAGTTTACCACGGCACCGTGGGGGTGTTCGATTTTGGAATTCTATCAAACAACTGGTCAGGAAGTCAATGTAAGATAATTCGATTTCAGTATCTTGTAAATAAGAACTCAAATGTCTCAACACTTTAACTTAGAATAAATTTTATTGATGTTATAGCTGGACTTGGTGACGAGCTGCCTACGTACCCTTAAAACGGTTCAAGCCATTCGTAGTTCTAATAATTTTTGTTTTTGTTTTTAAGATCGAAGTGTATCAAACTAATAGTAGTAGTGCTTGAGATTCATAGCGTTCCAAGACCTTGGGATCAGGGTTCTGTCCATCTTCATGAGTTGGTAGACTCCTGGTTTAACGACTTTCATGACTTAGTAAGGTCCTTCCCAGTTCGCACCAAGTTTTCCTGCATTCTTTTCTTCGGTATTCTGGTAGACTTTGCGGAGGACGAGGTCGCAATCTTCGAAGTGACGACCTTTGAATTTTTTGTTGTAGTAGCGAGCTGCGAGTTGTTAGTTTTGTATTCAGATGAGCGCTTGTTCGCGTTGCTCTTCGACTAAATTGATCGTGTGTAGCATCATATCTTTGTTGATGTCTGGCTGTTGAGTTAGCATAGTTCGGCGATTGCTTGGAACGTTCAGTTTGGCCGGACACATGGCCCCAGTTCCATATGCGAGAAAAAGGTGATTGTCTGGTAGATCGTCGAGGTGTAGTTCGATGAGACCAGAGCACGTCGTCGACTTGTCTGCCCATGTTCCCTTTGCCATGTCGAGCCGTCAATGTTCATCTTATTGGTTGCTTCAGGTTGCCTGTTTCCTTTTCGATACCTCGCAGTTGAAAAACTCAGGAGAATTTTCCACTTAGCGGAAAAGTCGGTGAAAGTGATGGAAGTGAATTGAATG